TATTACAGTTTTGATGATATTGTAAGGGCTGCTTTTTGCATTGTAATTCCCACTTTTAACTTGCTAGTGTATAAAAATGCAGTGCATTTTTGTCAGCTGACCTTGTATCCTAGGACCATGTTAAACCTACATATTTAACAGCTTTTTTGTGGATTAGAATTTTCTGTGTTGGATCATGTTGCCTGAGAGGTTTTAACTCTTCATTTCCTACCTATGACTGTTTTTTGGTCTCAATATAAAGAGGAAATCATTTTTTTTCACCGTTAAGTATCAAGGACATATTCTGAGTAGTTTGGACAAGAAGATCTATAAATAATAGTGTGTTTGTCTTCTCAGGCCTTCCCTGGTGATCAGCTGAGTACCAGTGGGTTGGACCTTGAGAAGGGGGAGGCCATGTCAAGTCCTGGGCTGCGTACATTTTCAGGTTGTGATGAACTTTATCTTAACATAATCAACTATCACACCAAAATAAACAACAGTGGTGTCTAACTCATTCAAGCACCTTAGAGTTTAAGGGACAGGAATAGTGTCTTCAGTGATTTACTAATGAGTTTTTTTCTGAACAGTGATTTCAGGATGCCAATCTAAGGGTATATTTGGGTTATTTTACAAAATAGAAAACATCTTGCCTCTTGGTACTGCAATTTGGTGCTGGCTGTGTGACAGACAACCAAACACAAGCAAATAAAATCCTAATCCAGTGTACCCTGACCTCACTGCCTCATATTAATGGGTTACTGGTTTTAGTTAGGAAAGTTTAAAGTTTGGGTTCCTCCTCCTTAAGTAATACAGACTCACTAGAGTGTTTTTCGAGACTCATTACTGCTGGTCTAAATTAATGAGAAATTATGTGAAAAAATGCTTTTCCTCTTTGTTAAGTTTACTTTGAAAGAGAGAAGGGAGGGACAGAGAGAGCGAGGTAGAGGGAATCCCAAGGTGACAGGGTGGAGCCTGATGCAGGGCTTGAACCCACAAACCGTGGGATCGTGACCTGAGCCAAAGTTGGACACTTAACTGACTGAGCTACACAAGTGCCCCAACTTTGTGAAAACTTATTAACTCTAACTATGCAGATTTTTTTAATGGTAGAAAATAGGCTTAACAAATAAAGTGGGCATCATTGGTCAAAAATGAATTTTATTGGGATACCTGGGTGGCTCAGTCAGTTAAGTCTGTGACTTCAGCTCAGGTCATAATCTTATGATCTGTGGATTCGAGCCCCGTGTCGGACTCTGTGCTAACAACTTGGAGCCTGGAGCCTGCTTCAGATTCTGTGTCTCCCTCTCTCTCTGCCCCTCCCCTGTTCGCGCTCTTTTTCTCAAAAATAAACATTAAGAAAAAAATAATAAAAAACAAAAACCCAGTGCCCAAAAGGCCACACTTTTGACAAGGCTAGTCTCTAAAAATACAGATCACTGCATTATAGTTTCTTAGTAAATGTGATGCAGAGATTTCCTGCTCATGTTACGTTTGGCATGTACTCCCTGCCCAGGAAGAGTGAGTGAGATTGGCTTTTAATGAAAGAATTCTGGGTAGAATTTGAAATCGCCAAGGCATAACTGGGCCCTTGTTAAGGATAGAGGTAACACGAGGTAGTAGATTTCTCATTTCTGCCACAGTGCTTTATCTAGAGCCAACATGCCAAGCATGGCCATTGAAGAGACAAAGACAAGCTGTTTTGTTCTTTCAAACCGGCCACTCACCCCGACCGTTGTTGATTTTTCACTTTTGTATGAACCCAGCATTCTTTAATATGGGCGTGGGTGGCTGTGGATATGGCCATGAGTCCATCAGCTGCCATCCACCTGGTTGCCAGCTCTCACTAGAGGGCACATATATTATTACCAGTATGGGGCAAAATGTGGCTCCATTTTCCTGGCTAAGGTTGACAGCAGGCTAAGGTTTTGCTTTTTCTCTGTTGCACAACTGGATATGCAAACATACACACCCTCCTCCTAACCCAGGGTTACCAACATAAAAGCTCAGGGACTGGATCTGGCCAACCAAGAGGGCAGTTTCATGTGGGCAAAGTACAAGCTCTCCTGTTAACCCTGGCCCTGCGGCCCGCAGGCCCACCTCGCTATCCAAGATAGTGGTCAGCAAGGCTTGTGCTGCTTGTGCCCAGCTACCAACCCCAGCCACTTGGTTCACCATCCCTTGTTTCACCTGGCAACCCAGTTAGACAGGCAGGTGTTACTTCAACATACCTCAGGGAAAAGGCATCTAGGTATGGGATTAGGTACTATGAGGACCCTTTCCTGCTAGAGCAAGACTGGGGCAGGAGTATGTCTGGCCCATTCTACCAAGGCCCCTGCAGTGCAGATGGGGCCCATGTCTGCATCTTCCTGCCCAGCGATTCAGAGAGAAACATCTTGACTTTCATTCCTTCCAAGCTGGCTGTTTTCTCCAGTTTAGATCAGAGATGGAAGAGGGCATCTGGCTGGCTCAGTCAGAAGAGCATGCAACTCTTGACCTTGGGCTTGTGAATTTGAACCCCACACTGGGTGTAGAGATTACTAGATCAGAGATGTGAGATGGCAAGCAGACAGCAGAACTCTGTTCCTTTCTGTTGAGATGTTTTGAAACTTTGAAATATCTCTTCTCAAATAATTTGTCTCCTTGGATAATAAGTAAAAATAGTAATGAAATATTAAGGCATCTGCAGAGTTTTTACTTTATATCAGTTTTTTCCAGTGTGATCACATTCTCATTTAAAGCTGCTGGTACTTTCAGTGAAGGCTGCAGAGAAGAGCAGGTATCCTAAGGAGAAAACAGGCTAAGGGCAGTGGGGTGGCTGGTGGGAATGTGTGTCTGCTGTGGACGGAGTGTGCACTACTAACCTGCTGAAGTGTAGTGTGGAGACTAGAACAGAAGGGGACATTTGCTGTCTGAGGAGGCACATGGCTAGTGTATCATGAAAGAGTTCCCCCTTCCTCACATTTCTGCCAGTACCCTCAGTTTGCTTGGTTTAAGAAATGATTGGCAAAGGTGTCCATCCAGTGGTAGAAAGCATGTAACCTCTTTGAAGAGAAATCTTACTATCTAGTTTAACATGTGTGTAAGTTATGGGGCACCTAGGTGGCTCAGTCGGTTAAGGTCCGACTTCAGCTCAGGTCATGATCTCACGGTTTGTGGGTTTGAGCGCCACATCAGGCTCTGTGCTGATGGCTCGAAGCCTGGAGCCTGCTTTGCATTCTGTCTGCCTCTCCCCCACTCACACTCTGTCTCTCAAAAATAAATAAGCATAAAAATTTTTAAAAATACTAATGTGTGTAAGTTATGACTTACCATTTCATTTCCAGAAATCTACCTCAATAATGGAGGAACGGGTACATAAAGTCTAGCGTATTCACTGACATACAAAGGGAGCAAAGACACACACAAACACCCCCCCCCCCCACGGGGGCCATGTGATAGAAATATAAAATAGGGCTTATTGAGAGGAAACTCAAGAGAGCACAGACAACCCCTTGAGTAGCCCTTACTTCACAGAAGTGTGCCGGCACTGGACAGAGCTGCACCTACTCCACCGTGAGGGGCCTTCTGGTAAAAGAATCCTGTTCCATGCTGCTTCTTGCTCATGGAAAGAAGCAAGGAACAGGCCCATGACAATATAATAATAATGAGCCACTTGTTCAAGGCTAATGCTCTCATTAGAGGGGGCTTTCAGGGCCCAACTTCTGGTCTCAGCCAGTTCCTTGTGGCCAAGATCTGCTAACTCGCTCCTTCCTGCATGGAGTGTGGGGCTAGCTGGGTTTGCGTACTTATGTGTTCTGTTGCCCTTCTAAAGAATGAAGTATATGTATGAGAACAGACAGAAAAAGTAGAAGGAGGGGTGCCTGGGTGGCTCAGTCAGTTAAGCATCTCGATTTCGGCTCAGGTCATGATCTCACAGTTCCAGAGGTGGAGCTCCACCTCGGCCTCCTCAGTGTGCAGAGCCTGCTTGGGATTCTCTCTCTGCCTCTCCCCTACTCACGGGCACCTCTCTGTCTCTCTCTCAAAATAAGTTTTTAAAAAGTGGAAGGATGCCCCCCCAAACTACTGACAGGGCTACCTTGAATTAAAGAGGCAAGGAGGCAGAATTCATCATGTGTACTGGATTTATTTCTTTTAAAAAAAAATTTTTTTTTTTATTTTTAAGTAATCTCTATACCCAATGTGGAGCTCGAACCCACAACCCTGAGATCAGGAGTTGCACACTCTACGGAGCCAGCCAGGTGCCCCATGTGTAATGGATTTCTGTGCTGCTTGAATTTGCTGCAGTGAGCACCTGTTGTAAATAAAATAATTTTCTAGTGGAAATATCCTGTTTAAAAAAAAAAAAGATCTGAGATGTTGGGGGTTTGGGAATTAGGTAAGGAGTGAAAGTATAAAGAACATTTTAAGTGGTGAAATGGCAGTTTTCAGTTGAATGCTTTGTGCATATTTTTCCAGTTCTGAGGAAAACTCCATCACTCTCCTGGTTTCCTTTTGGAAGCATTCTAATTTGACTTGGCGAGCACACCCCTCGGCAGTTTCCTAATGAGCATAATCTGAGTGTTCTGAAGACCCGGCTGCCAGTCCTCGAGGCACATTCATTCGACAGAAGTTCATCCGGCTGCTGCAACACTGGGTGCTGCTCTGGCTTTGGTTGTGCTGGGACTTGAGCCCCAAGCCTGACTCTCCAAAGGGTGAACCCCATGCTCCTGAGAAGAGAGCAACTCCTCTATTCCACCTGCCCACGCAACATTTAACGACAGAGTTTGCCCGGTGCCCTTCTTAGCTTCTGAAGGCCAGTTCAGCTCGTACTTGGAGTTTGTGTAAGAAAATACAGGGGCACTTGGGTGGCTCAGTCGGTTAAGGATACGACTCTTGATGTTGGCGCGGGTCATGAACTCATGGGTCATGGGTTCGAGCCCTACATCGGGGTCATGCTGACAGTGTGGAGCCTGCTTAGGATTCTCTCCCCCGCCTCTACCCCTCCCTCTTGCTCACTGTCTCTCAAAATAAACTTTTTTAAAAAAGTTATATCAAGAAGAGAAGAGAGACACAGGGGCCCTGTGACAACAGGCAGGGAGATTGGAGTGACACAGCCCAAGCCAGGGATGCCCTGGAGCCACCAGAAGCTGCAGCAGGCAAGGCAGGACCCTCCCCTAAGGAGAGGGAGGGACGGCTCTGCAGACACCTTGAATTGGGACCTCCAGCCTCCACAGCTGAAAGAGAATAAATTCTTACTGTTCCAAGCCACCCAGTTTGTTATGGGTTGTTATGGCAGCCCTGAGCTACCACAGGCACTGTGAGGAGTGAGGTCACTGACCCCCATGCCAGATTTCAGCTGCTTTATGGTTTTGGCCACAGCCAGCCTTAGTGTAAGCCTGGCTTCTGAGGGATGAACTTAGGAAACCACAGTTCAACCTTGAGTCTCTCCAGAGAAGGGTCTGACCAAAACCACTGTGTTAACATCTCTCTCGCATTTGCGTGACTGCCAAGACACAGAAACTAGTGAGCAGCACTCCTGGAGTTTAGGCTTAGGCTTTCAGAAGCCCAAATCACTGAGAGGGACATGTGTCACTCAAGGGAGATGAGTTGCCGTGGCTGTGTGAGATTTCAGAAGATGACAAAGTGACTCAGCAATTTTATTTCTAAGCCATAAGTGAACACATTGTCTTTTCTCTTTATTGCGATCCTTTTCATAGTTGTACAGGACAAGAGTCTTGACTGTGGGAACAGTGGCTAAGTAAGGGGAAGTCACTGTAGGTTTAGTGCTGGCACCCCCACACGTGTTTTGGCTCACCTCAGAAAAACCATCTACAAAGAAGCAAAAGCTAGGGCATCTTAATCCATCAGAACAAAGGGCATGCGTGTTTACCGCGGCCAGCCCCTAGTTGAGACCCTTTGAAGGGCCCTGTTGGTGTGAAAGCATTGTTCAGACACCTGGAGTAGGTTTGTGAGTTTCAAGCTCCGTCTTCCTGGTCCTGTCAAGATGAGGTCAGATGTGGTGACGGTTATAGAGATAAGATGGGTACAGGCCATCATAATGCCACTGGCGCCATTGCTCAGTAGCTTCCCGGCTTCTCTCTTCCTGTTCTGGGGAGGAGAGGTGAAGTCATCATATTAGTATGGAGAGCACTCTGACCTGCAGAGAGCCACCAGGCTCTTGGCAGCCATCAACCCAAACTGCCTACCCTGTGATGACGTGAACAAACTGTGCCTAGGTGCGTTGGTAACAGAAGGTCTGAAGTGAAAGATGTGAGGAGCAGTGGGTAGGGGTGAGAGCCATGCCCAGGAGGTGAAAGAGCTGGTAGCCAGTAGAGCCAGCCATTCAAGGTCTGTGTCCCAGTTCAGTGCTCCTTACCCTGCATAATCACCAATGGGGAACAGCCTTCACCAGAAACTGACTCAAAGAAGTAACAACTGGGGCATCTGGATGGCTTAGTTGGTTAAACGTCCGACTTCAGCTCAGGTCATGATCTCACCATCTGTGAGTTTGAGTCCTGCATTAGGCGCTGTGCTAACAGGTCAGAGCCTGGAGACTGCTTCAGATTCTGCATCTCCCACTCTACTCTACCCCCACTCACATTCTATCTCTGTGTCTCAAAAGAATTAACATTTAAAAAATAATAACTAAGAAACAAAGTATAAAGGTAACAGAACAGTAATGAAAAGAGATGATGGGCATTACAGACAGAAAAAATCATGGAAGAAAATAATTGTCAACTTCAAGCAATGGCATTGAAATTTTTCCTCAGGCTTTAAAAATTATGTGGCTTTTTTAAAATTTTTACTTTTCTAAGTTTATTTACTTAGAGATAGCAGGCGGGGGAAGGGTAGACAGAATGGGAGACAGAATGCTAAGCAGGCTCCACACTGTCAGCATAAAGCCCGATGTGGGGCTCAAACTCACGAAACTGTAAGATTATGACCTGAACAAGGATCAAGAGTTGGATACTTAACTGACTGAGCCACCCAGGTGCCCCTAAAATCATGTTTTAAAAAACTAGGAAAGGGCATGGATGAAGCAAAGTGCGGGGAAATTTGATAATCATGTGTTAAACTTTTCCAAAGTAAAAGGCTAAAAAGAACAGAAAAGGGACACCTGGGTGGCTAAGTCAGTTAAGTGTCTCACTTTGGCTCAGGTCATGATCTTGTGATTCGTGGGTTCAAGCCCTGCATCAGCTCAGAGCCTGGAGCCTGCTTCAGATCCTGTGTCTCCCTTTCTTTCTCTGCCCCTCCCCTGCTTATGCACACATTCTCTTTCTCAAAAATAAATAAACTTTAAAGAATAAAACAAGAACAGAAGGGACTTTTTAATGAGTGATAAGGTCTTGTTTCATGATTAAGAAAGTCTTGATTTTGCTTTCTTCAATACGACATGTTTCTGAGTAACACCTTTGTTCAGTTGTAGAATTAGGTGATGCCAAGTCTGTATTGCCTGTCATTAGGTACCATTAAAGCACAAGCATACTTCACAACTCCTTCACTGTGTAAAAAAGCACCTGTAAGGCATCACCACATAACCCAGCGATTCCACTGCTAGGTATATTCCTAAGGGAAGTGAAAATACTGAACAAATGAATAGGTAAACAAAAAGTTAAACACACATGTGTACGTATTCAGTCATAACAAGGAGTGAAATTCTTGATCACAGGCCATGACATGAGTGAGCCTCGAAACGTGCTCAGTGAAATATACCGGAAGTGATTCCACTTCTGTAAAATACCTAGAAAGATTTCCTAGAGACCAAAATGTGGGAGAGGTCACCAGAGACTATGGGGAAAGGGGAATGACTTTGTGTAGTGGGTACAGAGTTTCTCTTTGAGGGGATGAAAGGATTCTAGAAATACATAGTGGTGTTGGTTACACAACAGTGTGAACCTACTAAGTGCTATTGGATGCTTAAAAATGGCTAAAATGGCAAATTTTATGTATCTTATCACGATCTATAAGTATTTGTGGGAAACATTGGGAGGATGGGAAGTTCTAACAGAAGAAGATTGTATCAAGGATTCAGAACCCCAAAAGTCTTCCTTGCCTATGTTTTCTCAAATGTGGGCTTCATCACCAAAAAGCCTGTGAAACCAGACTTCGTGAACCTCATTCTCTGGAGCAGGGCTAGCAGGATAGCCTGGTGACTTCAGGGTGCAGGGACCCAATGGTCCTTAGCACCACGAAAGCCAGATGCCCTCAACAGGAAGGCCCCTTGTTACCACTGGGTATTGGGAGTCATGGCTGCTGGGTATGTTTTCTTCCTATGTGAGCTTGGAATCGGTTGCAGCCCTTGATGCTGAAATCCCCTTTGGGGCTTGTTGGTATCCCAGACAGCCCGGAGCTCAGAGTCAGGTCCAGGCTGGAGCTTAGGGGTGTTAGCCTTCAGCCCTTCAGCCCCTCTTCAGGCCAGTTAGACCAGCTACTTTCTGCCAACTCTGAGAGCGTGATTTTGACATAGAAGTTTTTTTCCTCCAGGTCATGCCAAACATTTCTTACCCCATTTCACTTACACAAAGGGAAGGCCTCCCTGGTAAAGGCCCAAAGGCCCAAGCAGTGTGACTTCTGTGCAGGGAGCCACTTGTACCTGAGCATCTGCAGCCAAGCCTAGATGGCCTGACTCAGCATTCTGGCTTTGAAGGTGGAAGCAGATAGGTGCTGCCACACAGACCTCACAAGTAGGGGCTCAGCACACTGCTTACTCCTGGCACTTTCAGGGGCAGAATTCACAGGTATCTTTGTCTCGTAAAGCTGGTGGATTTGAGTAGAGGTGCAACCAGGTGCCACAACAGAACAGGTCCAGTGTCCCAGGTGGGCTGATGGGCCTTGGAGATGCGGTTCTCAGGCTCTCAGGAAGGTCACTCTGGTCTCTCTCAGACCACTTGCCTAAACGTCCTCCTTTGGAAATTCGAGTCTTTTCCTTTACCCATGATAGTCCCTCAGCATTTGCTTCTAAGGGATGGAGGGTGAACCTCAACTAGCAGTTATTCTGAGGACAGGTGACACTGTCAGATCAAGGGAGCCAACTGAAAAACTTAAGGTCCTGCCTGAAGAGAGTGTGGGGGCTTCACAAGAGCTTGCTTACAGCCATCAAATAAAATGCTGGTTAGAGTGAATAGGTAAATGAAGGCCTTGGTTTTCCAGAATGAATAGTTCCTAGAACTGTTAAATTGATGCGAATCCCAGGCACTTCAAAGGTACAACCCACTTATACCAGAGCTAAGCCACTAGCTCAAGGCACTAAGAGAACACAGTGTTCCCCACATAGGAGGAGACAATAGAACCGGCCAAAAATTCCCTGAGCCAGTGGAAACCTAAATGTGTGTCTTCTACGTCGCCTTCTCAAGGTCTATGGCCATTTCAAGACTCCCATAGATGTGAACTGAAAAGAGCCTCTCTTCCCTCCTCTAATTGAAATTTAGGGATGGGGCACCTGGGTGGCTGGGTCAGTTAAGCATCCACTCTTGGATTCAGCTCAGGTCATGATCTCATGGTTCATGAGATTGAGCCCTGGGTCAGGCTCTGTGCTGACGGTGCAGAGCCTGCTTGGGATTCCCTCGCTCTTCCTCTCTCTCTGCCCCTCCCCTGCTTGTGCACTCTGTCTCAAAAATAAATTAACATTTAAAAAAAATTAAATCGAGGGGTGCCTGAGTGGCTTAGTCGGTTAAGCGTCCGACTTTCACTTAGGTCATGATCTCGCGGTTCGTGGGTTCGGGCCCCGTGTCGGGTCTGTGCTGACTGCCAGCTCAGAGCCTGGAGCCTATTTCAGAGTCTGTGTCTCCCTCTCTCTCTGACCCTCCCCTGTTCACGCTGTCTCTCTCTATCCTAGAAATAAATAAAAATATTTAAAAAAAAAAATTAAATCGAGGGAGACGTGGAGGCAACTTTTGATTTTCCCGCGAAGGCTCACTTCCCCGACGGCCCTGGCTGGAGAGCTCTTACCATCGTTTTGCTCCTCCACGAAGTTCTCAAACTCGTTCCTTTGTTCCTCATAGTGCTCTCTCCGCAGCTCGTCGGCCCGCAGCTTCTGCCTCTTCTCCACTGGGAAAGGGCAAAAGGCAAGAGTTGCCTCCAAGAATGGGGGCAGCTGCATGCATTTAGGGGAACACCCGATTGTTTTGCCTGAGAAACTTAACGTGGCTGGGAGGGGTAGAGAAGGGAAAGGATGGAGGCTTCGCTTAGATGGTTTTCTCCTGACCTAAACTTTAAAACTTGAGGGACCCAGGAACTCACCCCCTCCAAACACCCCATTTTGCAAATGAGAAAAGCAGTTTAACTTCACTCATCAAATTAATGGTGCATCCAAGTCTACAGGGCCAGTTAGAAACTAGGAATCCTGGGGCACCTGGGTGACTCAGTCGGTTGGGCATCTGACTTAGGCTCAGGTCATGATCTCACAGTTCATGGGTTTGAGCCCCGCATCAGGCTCTGTGCTGACAGGTAGCTCAGAGCCTGGAGCCTGTTTCGGATTCTGTATCTCCCTCTCTCTCTGACCCTCCCCTGGCTCATGCTGTGTCTCTCTCAGAAATAAAACATTAAAAAAATTTTTTTAAAAAGAAAAGAAACTAGGAATAATGTGATCAGAAGTGAATCCAGAGGGAGTCGTCCACTTGAAGTCAATTTCACATTCATACCTTCAAGTCCAATGTCTTTGAGCACCTGTCACAGCCAAAATGTGTGCTAGGCACTGAGATTAAAAGGGCAAGTAAGAAAGGTTGTGTCCCTCTACTTTAGGGGCCTATAGTTCAGATTAGGAGAAAGAAAGAATAAGTCATGCCCAGGGGCACCTTGCTGGCTCAGTCTGTTCAGCGTTCGACTGTGGCTCAGGTTATGATCTTGTGGTTTTTGAGTTTGAACCCACTTCAGGTTGTGCACTGACAGCATGGAGCCTGCTTTGAAATCTGTGTCCCTCCCCTGCTCATGTTCTCTCTCTATCTGTCTCTCAAAAAATGAATAAAACATTTAAAAAGTTTTTTTTTTTAAACCATACCTACCATTATGATTGCTGTGATAGAAGTGTATAGAGGGCACAATCATGGCATGAGTTGGGAAGTCTGAGATGATCTTTGTTCTCCATTCCCTTAGGCACTTCCCTCCCTTTGTGTGGGCTGGCCTTAATGATTCTCTTCTAATGAACAGGAGATGGCAGACCATGATGGAATGTGGCTTCCTTCTTGGGCCTCTTTTGCTCTGCTGGAAGCCAGCTGCCATGTTGTAAGCTGTCTTAAGGAGAGTCCCACTCCTGGCAAGGAACTAGTGGCCTTGACTGATAGTCAGCAAGGCCCCAGGGCTTGCTTGACAAGGCAGATCTTGCGGTCAGGCCTTGAGATGACTGTAGCTTAGGAAGGATGCTAAGCCTGAAGTACCTAGGTAAGGCGTCTCTGGACTGCTGGCCTCAGCAACTAGAAGGCAATAGATGTGGTTTTTAAGCTACTAAATTTTGAGAATCCATGGCTACACTGCAATAGATAACTGGAATAGGGTGTTAGGTGATGAGGTAAACTCCCTGATGATGGAAACACCAACTGCACGTATTGCTTCTTTTGTACAGTGATGCATTCTAGTCCAGTTGGCTGTTTTCTTTTAATGAGAAATCTTACAGCAGCAGCACCTTGAGCTCCAGTGGGAATCCCCATCTGAACTAGCACATCACACCTCACCATACTTCACAATTTAATTTAGCCTGAAAAAAAACCATTCTAGATTGTAGATTTTTAGGTGTAAAGTAGTTTCCAAGTTCATCCACTTATACCCTTAAATCTGGACCTCTTTGGTGTGAGGGCTCTGGTTGTCTGGAGGAAGTTATCAAGAGCTCTCTTAGTATCAAAAAACTTCTTTTAACTAGACTTCAACTTGGGACGCCTTGGTGGCTCAGTCATTTGAGCATCGGACTTGGGCTCAGGTCATGATCTCGAGGTTTATGAGTTTAAGCCCCTCATCAGGCTGTGTGCTGACAGCTCAGAGCCTGGAGCCTGCTTTGGATTCTGTGTCCCCTCTCTCTCTGTCCGTCCCCTGTTCACGCTCTGTGTCTCTCTCTCAAAAATAAACATTAAAAAATTTTTTTAACTGGGCATCAACTGGACAAATCCACAACATCAGGAAGGCCGTGTCTGGTGCAGGAAGAACAACAGGACCCTGAAGGACACCTCACACCCCCCTCGTACAATCACATCAAAGAGGGGGAGACTAATGTGCTGTCACCCCCACCAGCTTGCTATGTAAGAAGTCGGGGGCGGGGGGGACAGTGATGATGGAAGCAGAGAAACTGAGGAAGCCATTGATTTCCTGCCCCACTCCATATTACAGTGGTATTAGGATAAACAATCAAGTATTCCTTTGTGAAATTATACAGTAAACCATCTGAAATCTTTAAAAGTTTGGGGCTTACAATAATTAAATACTAGTTGTTTGTATTACATTATATTATTATTAACTCAGATTAAAGACCCAGTTGACTGTGACTTGGTCTCCGTGCAGATTCCTTCAGTAAATCCCATGTTCATCCCACACTTGTGCCTTTACCCACATAGTAAAGGCACAGACTCTTGAGTCTGGTGGAAGGAATTTCCTTTCCCACACCTCCACCCACCCACCCTTGCCCACATCCACACAGTTCTTAGGAGGTAATTGAGGCTCAGAGAGGTGCAGTGACCTAATCAATGTCACACAGTTGGTTGGGGCACAACTTGGGACGAGCCAGAGCCCCAGTCGCTCATACTGCACCCCTTGGCCCAGAACATACCTGTCATGGCACCATCTTCCTTATGACCCACCATGAGCTCCATTCTTGCTCCAGGTACCAGAAAGCCACTGAGGATGGGAGGGAAGGAGTCTAGGAAGCAAGGCCTTAAGGAGCCATCCATCAGCAATTCCTAAAGAAGCATTGGCCATTCCTATGTACTTCAAAAAAGAAATTGTCTTCCCAAATTACATTTTTGGAGCTGCCACAAATGGGACCTGTCACTCAGCAATGGCCAAGAAAGTTGGGACAAAATGCCACGTTGACACTGAGCATCGTGCACACTGTGTGTGTCTCTTCTCAGGAAGGGATTAGTTCCTCCTCATGTAAAGGGAACCTGCGTCTTTACCCAGAAGCTTAGCGATGTCAAATGCCTGCTTCCTCATTCCAGATTCCAGTGTATCAGTGTCACATGCCTTTTACCCACCCTCAGACATGATTGGCCAGCTCCCGTGCACGGGAGTGACAGCAGGTGCGCTGAGGGGCATCTTGTGTCTTCAGGCTGTCCTGGGCCCCCCACGACTGATGCAGAGCTTCTGTTTGAGGTGAGGGACCTCTGACTTCACCACGCCCCTCATGGCTCTGAACCAGCTGATGAGGATGGAAATTATTCGCCTGTCCTGAATTTACACCCGCTCCCCACTGGAAATCTGCCAGGAGGTTGCTTCTCTGATTTCCATCAAGAATTGCCCGGGCTCCATCCATCACAGCCCTTTTAGCGTTTCTTGCCATTTGTTAACTTCTAAATCTCAAGTTGTATGAGGCCTGGAGGTTTTCCCAGTGTGGCTAATACTTACTCAGTTGGGGGGTGGGGGGGAAGGAATTTCATCTCCAAGCATTCTCATTATTTGAAAGCAGTCCTCTTCTTTTTACTGTGCTAGTTACCTTGCCGAGTGTGCCGAGGGACACAAAGAGTTTATTCAGGCACACACACAAGTAATGAATCAAGTCATAGTCTTGGAAACAGAGCTCAAGAGTCCTTGGAAGAATCTAGTTCAAGAGCAGAAAACTCAAATGCCTTCAAGGGTCGGCAGGTCATGGAAATGAGGGTCCCTGCCAGGCAGGCAGGGGACACCAGGGCCTACTTCAGACGAAGGAGACACACTCCCAAGCTCAAAAGCCTTCCAAATGCTTTGGATATGAAAATTAAAAAAAGAAAGCACGCAAAAAAGAAACCACTGCCGGCCGAATACCACAATCTCAGGGGCTTATAAATAAGGAAACTTGGGCCCAGTGGGGAGGAAGTGGCCAAGGCCACTTAGCACAGCTGTCACCAGACCCAAATTCCCAGCTCCTAGTCCCAGCTGCCCTCTCCATGTTTGCAGTGCTGTTTCTCTCACACATGAGGCACTGTTTCATAGTTCAAAAAGCATACACAGATACTGTGTTTCCTCCTGACTAGAACATATTTTCCATAATGTTTTTTTTTTTTAATGTTTTATTTATTTCTGAGAGAGAGAGAGAGACAGCGTGAGCAGGGGAGGGTCAGAGACAGAGGGAGACACAGAATCTGAAACAGGCTCCAGGCTCTGAGCTAGCTGTCAGCACAGAACCCAATGCTGGGCTAGAACCCACACACCGTGAGACATGACCTGAGCCGAAGTCGGATGCTCAACCAACTGAGCCACCCAGGCGCTCCAGTCTCCTTAATGTTTTAAACTTCTCCAAAATTGGGATGCATCTCACCTCTATTAAGTGCATTTGATGTAGCACTGGCCCTTTCTGCTTCTTACCCTGACAGTGTAGTCAAAGACGTGACCTGTAATTGAGGACATGTGTAATTTCTAATTCAGAGCTGCCGTCACTTTGATACCCAGCGGCCCAGTTTGCGCCCTCTTGAGTTCCTTGCTGTCCGTACAACCCAGCCCACTGGGAGAGAGAGAGGACGGGAGGGGCAAGCAGAAGGCAGACCTCCAGCATCCTTACCGTTGACCTCATCTTGGGACTTCGGGGACCGCTTGCCACGCCTCTTGAGGAAATTTGAGGCATCTGATTCCTGCATGAAGATCTTCTGTTCCACATCTGAAACCCAGGAGAGGTCGGTCACGACCAGCACGGGTTCACCAGGGCACCTCAGTAACCCTGCACCCCTGGGTGGCCCTTACACTCACCTTCCTGGGTGTCTTGTGCTGCCTCCTGCTGGCTGCCCACTGATGTACCAGTGCCCTCCTGCAGCACTGTGGGAGAGCACAGCGTGAGTTCTGCAGCACCCCAGGGGAGCCTTCGCCCTGAGCTGGGCTGGGACAGTCCTTCCTAGGCCCCAGTGTGGGGTCCCGGGCCCCTCACAGAGCAGCCACAGAGCAGCCTCCCCAGGAAGCCAGCAGGCAGGCTCTTTTCTCTGTGTTGTATTGTGTTATACACACACACATCAGACACAGCCGTCTGCACAGTAAGCACCCCCCTTTCCACCTGGGCCACCTGAGCAGCCTCACCTAACACCGGCGCTTCCTGGAACCTCCCCATACTCACTGGTGAGGAGCACAGCAGCGGAGAGACAGGAGGCAAGAAGCAGCTGTCTCCAGGCCATCTTTGGAACCACAAGGCAGACGGAGAGGGTTCTGCAGACCCTGACGCCAGCTGCCAGGTCTTCCCTTCTGTGCCAGGCGTGCCAGTGGGGAGGGAGGCAGGAGACCCGGGTGCCCATGGGGGAGAGTGGGAGGGGTCTCAGCCGCAGCTTCCATTGGCTGCTCCTCCTGGAGCACCGGAGATGATTTTGGCGTCCTGCAAACCTCCAGTGAAGCAGAGCCTGTCATCGGGGCCCCAGCCGAGACAGTTTTGAAGAGGCCTTTCCAAGATCCGCACCCAAGGAGTTACTATTGGAATCCCAGCCCCAGACTCAGGATTTCAAAGACCTCCTGGCATCTGCTTCGGGGGAGGAGACCCTGGTCCTGGAGGCTAAGGTGGGAGGTGGGAAGAGGGCCTTAGTGGGAGACTTTGAGATGTCAGGCCAGGGGGGACCAGAGAGCCTGGAAGACCCCCTCAGGCAACCCTCACGTGGATACATGGGCTTTTAGGACTGTAACCAGAGTACGCCTCACCTTGACATGTTGCCCAGCTGATGATGGTCACTGTCAAGCAAAACACAGACCCCAGCTCCGGGCCTCCCAGCACCCTTCCAAGACTTTGAGGAAAAGAGGCAGTGAGCCTTTCACTGTGGAAGGAGAGCAGCACACAGTGTGTGAAAAGCCCACAGCGGAGTATGGGTGTTTAGAAGGAGACAAAAGCACACCCCATGTGGGAGAGAAAATGAGTTCCTAGAAGTGAGAACACTAATGGATCACAGCTCTGTGGGGCTATCAGAATGCGGCCCCTCTGGAAATGTGTTCTTCACACTGTCGTTGATTATGAACCATACTCGACTCTGTTACTAGCTGAAGAGTTGTGCTTTGGTCATTGTTGAGAGTTTTCTTAATGGTGACCATCACTAGGCCTAGAGCACAGCCCACACTTACCCAAAGGTGTAGGGAGAGTGGGGGGCACTCATGGGAGGCCTGTCCCCCGGTTGTCTCACCAGTGAACTTCTTGGCCATGTCTGGGATGGCAAGGCTAAGTGAGGCCCTTTTGAGGAAATGGAGACAGTTCAGTAATACCAGAGCCCAGGAGCATGTGGGGGGCTGGCGGTAGGCAGGGCTGAGGTGAAGGGATGGAGTTTGGTCTCCATCTTTGTGAGGCAGCCTAGTATGTGGGCTGTAAGCACAGAGCCTTCCCAGGCTCCCTGGATTCAACCCCAGGTTCGCACTTGGCCATCTGCATGGCCTTGGGCAAGTCATTTGACCTCTTTGTGCCTAATCCCCTCTTCTGCCATGTAGACTGACCTGAGGATTGGAATTAGTGCATCCAAAGTCCTTAGAATGATGCCTGGCATTCATGGATGACTAGATATGTGTTTGCTATCAGGACACAATCATGAACCATTCAATGATCTTGAGTAAAGTGACAGGAGGGATTTTGTGTGTGTGTGTTTGGGTTTTTTTGTTTGTTTTGTTTTTAGGAACACTACCCTCCCAGTGATGTGGAGGGTGGAGGGATTATGTTAAAGGGCTAACTAGGACTTAGAGAAGACTTTTGTAGTAGTCCAGTGGGAGATGGTGTCAGTGAAAGGTAGGAGGAGCAGGAATGGAGAACACAGAGCATTTAAAAGACTGAAGAAAGAATCATTAGTAGGACACTGGGTGGCTCAGTCAGTTGAGCACCTGACTCTTGATTTTGGCTCAGGTCATGAATCCAGGGTCTGCACTGGGCATGGAGCCTACTTGAGACTCTGCCCCTCCCCAACTTACATGGGTGCTCTCTTTCTTTTTTTCTCTCTCTTTCTCTATAAACAAACAAACAAACTTAAAAAAAAAAAAAAGAATCAGTAGGACTCAACTAATTAGCTAAGAGCAATGAGAGGGTGAGAGATGTGCTTTCAGATGGCTCCCGCGTTTCTAGTTTGGGTAGCTTGGGGGATGGATGGCAAGACCATTCAGTGAGGTGGAGAACACAGGAGAAAGGACATATCATCGGGCAAATCAAGTATCCAACACTTGTGGGATTCAAACCGGTCTAATGTCAAATCCAGTGCTCTTCTCATTTCTCCACAACCATAATTTTGTAAAGATACTGAACCATCACCATGATCAATTTTAGGACACTTTCATCAGCCAAAAAAAAAATCCCATACCCATTAGCAGTCACTTCCTATTTTCTCCAACCCCAAAGCCTTAGACAACCACTAATCTGCTTTCTGTCTTTATGGGTTTCCCTGTTCTGGGCATTCCTTCTAAATGGAATCATACAATGTATGGCCCATCATGACTGGCATCTTTCACTTTAGATACTGTGGTCAAGGTTCATTTATGTTCTAGCACACATGAGTGCTCCATTTCTCCCTGCTGCGGAAAAATATTCTGTTGTACAGATATGCCATATTTTATTTATCCATTCATCACTTACTGGACATTTGGGTTGTTTCTGCTTTTTGACTGTCATAATATGAGGCTGATATGGGATGTCTGGGTGCCTCAGTCGATTAAGTGTCCAACTCTTGATTTTGGCTCAGGTCATGATCTCACGGTTTCATGGCTTCAAGCCCCACATGGGGCTCTGCCCTGTGGGGCCTGCTTGAAATTCTCCCTCTTTCTCTGCCTCTCCCCCACTCACATTCTTATCACTCTCAAAATAAATAAACTTAAAAATTTGTTTCTAATTATTAAAAAAGTAATGCTATTATGAACATTCTTGTGCACGGTTTTATGTGGACATCTGTTTTCTATTGGGTAGATACCTTGGAGCAGAATTATTAGTTCAAATTATTAGTTCAAATGGTACCTTCATATTTAACCTTTGAGGAAATCTCACATTATATCTTGCATGTTCCTTTACTCATCTTTCTCCTCTAGTGCTATGAGGTGTCTTTGATGAAGAGAAGTTTCTATCTTATTCTACTAAAATGATGCCCAGCACAGAATATGTACTTCGTAAGTGTTTATTGAATTAATCAATGAAAATACTCTTGGGTGAGAGCATTAAAAGGAAAGTAAGTTTATTTCAATGGTGATTTGTAAGCAAGTACACACACAGGGACCCAAAATTTCCAAGTTAATGTATCCCTGGGTTCAAGATTGTTCTCAAGCAGCAGGAACAAATTTTGTGGTGCATTTATGTATTGCTTAGAGTGCAGCCAAGATGGCTTTAACATTTGCCTCACCTTGACTAAAGTTTAGATAGGTTTCTTCCTGATGATAGGCACTTAACCTCCCTTTTCTTAGAGCATTTACTTTAGAAAACTTGAAATTGTAAATTCTTTCTCTGCCCCTTTGACATATATACAGATCTTTTCCCAATCTCTTGATGGTCTTATAATCCAAGAATGTCTTTCTCAGGGACCTGGGAGCCATCTTTTTGGAATGAAAACACTGGGGTGCCTGGGTGGCTCAGTCAGGCATCTGATTCTTGGTTTCAGCTGAAGTCATGATCTCAGTCATGAGGTCAAGCCCTGCATCAGGCTCTGTGCTAGGCATGGAACCTGCTTAAGATTCTCTGTCTCTCCCTCTCACTCTCAGTTTCTCTCTGCCCCTCACCTGCTCACACATTCACATGTGCACACTCTCTCTCTTTCTCAAAAAAAAAAAAAAAAAAAAGAGAGAGAGAGAAAGAACTGAAAACATCAAAGGAGATATCACCCATGTCCCCCAGTCTCTCTGGGAGCATAGACAATTGGCTCTGGTGGGCACCCTGCTCCAACTGTGTAGGGCAATTAAAAACTGCAGGTGGCTGCAATCCCTATCAAAATAACACCAGCATTCTTCACAGAGCTAGAACAAACAATCCTAACATTTGTATGGAACCAGAAAAGACCCCAATAGCCAAAGCAATCTTGAAAAAGAAAAACAAAACTGGAGGCATCACATACCCGGACTTCAAGCTGCATTACAAAGCTATAATCATCAAGACAGTATGGTACTGGCACAAAAACAGACACTCAGATCAATGGAACAGAATAGAGAACCCAGAAATGGACGCACAAACCTATGGCCAACTAGCCTTTGACACAGCAGGAAAGAATATCCAGTGGAATAAAGACAGTCTCTTCAAGTGGTGCTGGGAAAACTGGACAGTGACATGCAGAAAAATGAACCTGGACCACTTTCTTACACCATACACAAAAATAAACTCAGAATGGATGAAAGACCTAAACATAAGACAGGAAGCCATTAAAATCCTCAAGGAGAAAGCAGGCAAAAACCTCTTTGATCTCGGCCGCAGCAACTTCTTAACACCTCTCCAGAGGCAAGGGAAACAGGCAAAAATGAACTATTCGGACCTCATCAAAATAAAAAGCTTCTGCACAGCAAGGGAAACAGCAAAACTAAAAGGCAGCTGACAGACTGGGACAAGATATTTGCAAACGACATGTCAGATAATGGGTTAATATCCAAAATCTATCAAGAACTTATCAAACTCAGCACCAAAAAACAAATAATCCAGTGAAGAAATGGGCAAAAGACATGAATAGACACTTCTCCAAAGAAGACATCCAGATGGCCAAGTGACACATAAAAAAATGCTCAACATCATTCAGCATCAGGGAAATACAAATCAAAACCACAATGAGATACCACCTCACACCAGTCAGAATGGCTAACATGAACAAGTCAGGCAACAACAGATGTTGGCGAGGATGCGGAGAGAGAGGATCTCTTTTGCATTACTGGTGGGAATGCAGACTGGTGCAAGTCACTCTGGAAAACAGTATGAAGGTTCCTCAAAAAATTAAAAATAGAACTACCCTGGGGCGCCTGGGTGGCCCAGTCAGTTGAGTGTCCGGCTTCGGCTCAGGTCATGATCTTACGGTTCGTGGGTCTGAGGCCCACATCAGGCTCTGTGCTGACAGCTCAGAGCCTGGAGCCTGTCTTTGGATTCTGTGTCTCCCTCTCTCTCTGACCCTCCCCTGCTCACACTGTCTCTCTCTCTCAAAAATAAATAAAACATTAAAAGAAAAATTTTAAAAAAAAGAACTACCCTACAACCCAGCAATTGCGCTACTGGGTATTTATCCAAGGGATACAGGTGTGCTGTTTTAAAGGGGCACATACACCCCAATGTATATTGCAAAGCTATCGACAATAGCCAACGTATGAAAAGAGCCCAAATGTCCATCAACAGATGAATGGATAAAGAAGATGTGGTGTATATACAATGGAGTATTACTCAGCTATCTAAAAGAATGAAATCTTGCCATATGCAGCTACGTGGATGGAACTAGAGGGTATTATGCTATGCAAAATTAGTCAGAGAAAGACAAATATCACCTGACTTCACTTCTATGAGGACTTTAAGATGCAAAACAGATGAACATAAGGAAAAGGAAGCAAAAATAATATAAAAACAGAGAGGGGGACAAAACATAAGAGACTCTCATAGAGAACAAACAGAGGGTTACTGGAGGGATTATGGGAGGGGGGATGGGCTAAATGGGTAAGAGGCATTAAGGAATCTACTCATGAATCATTGTTACACTATATGCTAACTAACTTGGATGTAAACTTAAAAATAATTTTATTTTTTTCTTTCTTTTTTAAACTTTTTAAAACATTTATTCATTTTTGAGAGAGAGAGAGAGTGCGAGTGAGAGAGGGGCAGAGAAAGGGAGACACAGATCTGAAGTAGGCTCCAGGCTCTGAACTGTCAGCACAAAGCCCAACACGGGGTTCGAACCCACAAGCAGTGAGATCATGATCTGAGCCAAAGTTGGACGTTTAACCAACTGAGCCACCCAGGTGCCCCCCAAAATAAATTAATTTTAGAAAAACCCAGGGTGCCTGGGTAGCTCAGTCAGTTAAGCGTCCAACTTAGGCTCAGGTCATGATCTCACAGTTCATGGGTTCCCCCGCATCGGGCTCTATGCTGACAGCTCAGAGCCTGGAGCCTACTTTCAGTCTGTGTCTCCCTTTCTCTGCCCCTCCCCTGCTCATGTTCTGTCTGTCTCTCCCTCAAAAATAAATTAACATTAAAAAATTAAAAAAAAAAACTGCAGGTGGCCTGAGAT